TTTCACTCATCCCACATGAGACCTACTCCAAGACACTTGCCAATGAACTCTACCATGCACAATACCATATGCTTGAAAATAATTCATTCCTAACCCTCTATAGTCACCATAGGACAGTGGTAATGATAGCTCCAAAAGAGTAAACTAGTATCTCGGCTTGTCTACATGCGTACATTAATCCAATCACCCTCTTGCTATGTAGGAAAATAACTGAAATACACATTAAGTTTCTACTCTATCAAATTCCATAGGTTCCATTCAAAAGAGTAGTGAAAGAAACGATGAGAAATCGACTCAAGTTCCAAATATCAAAAATGACATAATTATTGCACACACCTAGTTGGGCTAATCTGTTAGTCACAAGGAGGCAATATGTTGTGATCGTAAAGGCACTAAGAGGGAGGGTTTGCTTAATGTAATGCTAATTCATGAAAACTAAAAGAATAATGTCTCGCATATTCATCACATTCCGATTCCTTGAGATAGTATAAGCAATACTTCTCACTGAGTGCTAGCAAAGTTTCGAACTCTTCAAAGGTGTGAATTAACTTGAGAAAGTAGTCGTTCATGTACTCTAGTAGTGCATGAAGGAATGGTTTTGTTTTACTTGGATACAGATGAAAGATTTATCTGAAGCTTATTTTGAGGAATCCAAACGGAGAGATCAACATTACGTACCAACTTTGGAAGAACATCTACATGCTTCCCTCGTAAGTTCAGTGTATCCTATGGTCGAATGTGCTTCTTTCATTGGAATGTGAGAAATAGCAACCAAGCTGCTGCAATAATTGGTAGTATCATGAATGACATTACTTCACATGAGGTATGGTCATAATATAATCTCCTGTATTTTCTATCATATAAACATTTTTCATAGTAAATTTTGCATTGATTTCTTTCATAGTAGAAATAGCATACCTTCTTCCATTATATGAGATGGAATATAAATGAAATTTAATAGATAATCTCTAAAGGTTGTCTTCAATATTCCTTCTATTTATCACCTCAAAAGCATTTCATGTGCCACTCAATTGCATTATCAAAGTTTTGCTGAACTCCTTAAATGATACTATATCAAGAAATATAGTACAAATGTTGGACAACACGTCCAATGAATCACACTCAGCTATGTAGAGCTGATCCAGCTGATGGAGACATAGATTAATTGAATCATGCAAGCAATGTGGACGATGGGAAGGCTTATAATATTTTTTATTTTCTTATATAGAAATTATATTGTGTGATAGTTAGAGAAAGCAGATTACACTGATGTAATTATACATGCATTGTCATTAGAGATAAAAGAAATCAAGATCAAATTGGCTACTATCTTCCTTGACAATCCCAACACGTTGTCCAATCAATCCAAAGGACAATCGTACAATGAATCACTTTCAATTAACATCCAACTAATGCAATCACAGAAAAAATTAATTATGAGAAATTAATATAATTGTTTTGCTTTGTAATACAGAATATTAGATGCCATTGTACATCCTTTCACTTTGTAGTAAAGAAAAATCTCTATATATGATATTTAAATTCAATGAGATGTGTGGTATATAAAATTGTATATTAGTACTTGTTATGTTTTCTAAAATGGTATTAAAGTAGAATGGCTAATATCTTAATAATATTCTGATTGAATCATATTACGATTCTATGGTCAAAATATATGTCTGGCTATAGAATATTTTAGATAATACTTTTGCTATAT